GGTTAATGTGCTCTTCAATAGCAACGACAAACACGCCTTTGAGCTTGATGAAAGGACTAAATGCCTGAAAAAGCCTGCAGGAAACAGCTCCCGCTCTCCGTTTTGCAAGCCGAAACCCAGACCTTCACGGCAACAGGCAGTAGGGCTTTTGGGCTCAAGGGTCTCAGGATTTAGGGTTTACGGTCTAGGGTTTAGGGAAGTTATACTCATTATCGGACCTTAAACTTTCCGGTTGAGGGATGTAACTTCTACTTAGGGTCTTAGGCTAGGGTTCAGGGATATGGGGATGACGTACCAGAGTGCTTGCTTGAAGAGTCGGCTGTGTTGAAGGAACGTATCAAGCGAGTTTCCCAAGCTAGCGAAGTATACAAAAGTACCACTGAACGTAACATAATGTAATCCCTGCACATCCGCGCAGCATTTTTTCGTCGAATCGCCTCTGGCGACTGACTTTTTTTTGCGTGTCCGCTTTCATGCCCTCAGGCTCCATACGGCTCGCAGTCGCCGGTGGCAGACCTTCCCGATGCTCAAGGGATCCAAAAGGGCTTGGTATAGAGTACCCTTTAGTACTACAGGGTCTCAAATTAGGGGACTTCCGGAGGATCGCGGCTAAAGGTCAAGTAGACAGGGCAAGACGGAGGGAATGTAGGAGTCGCAAGTGTGCTAGAGGCCCCTCCATCCTCGCCGTCACCATGCACGCAGTCAGGATCCCTACACCGCCCTACACTTGGCTTAGGCTTGCACTAGATGGCTTGGCCACCCATGTTTCCAGTCGAAGGACTAGGCCCTCGCGATATCCAAGCAAGGCTCTGCAGAAAAGACAGTAGGGGCCCTCATGGGGATCCTGAAAGAAGTTCTTTTATATGATCTTTTAAGGGTACCCTTATGGGAGGGATTGTGGAGGATTGTAAGCTCCCTGACATGTTGACGCAGCGTAGAAAAACAAACTGAAACTTCGACCACTCCCCTCACCGGACCCTAGATGGGTGGTTCTCTAACTTAGGGTCCGTTTTTAGGGTCCTGTTTACAAGAGTGCCGTACTACTTTGGGGGACCTACAAGGGGATTCGAATAAAGAGAACTACCCACATCCTAAACCCTGAACCATCCAACCCGTCACATCGAATGCTTGTTTGGAACACTCCCCACCTCCCTTTTTACCGAGGCTCGAGGTCCTCAGCCGTGCATCCAACAACCGGAACCCAAACACCTGCAAGACCAACTTAGGGTTTAGGGTTTAGGGTTTAGAAAACCCTAAATCCGTAGCCTCGATCAGCCTCTACGACCGAAACTTGAGAATGGCATTGCTGGTGTCGCAGGCATAGATGTGATCCAAGATCCTGAAAGAGCGGGGGCGGGGGGTTTTCGGGTTTAGGGCCTCTACCTATACTACTACATTATGTCGAAATATACGGTATTCGGTTCTGTCTTGTCTTATCTTGTCAACCATATCATACTATGCTCCATTGTGTTCTGTTCTTAGGGTGAAGATTGAGGAGCACGTAAAGGCTCAGGGCTTGGAGTATAGCGCGCCCGGAGAAGGCTTCAGGGTTAGAGAGTCTGCAAGCTTGAGGCTGTTGAGCTGACATTATGCTGGTTTTGAGCCCGTGTTGACTAAATGAAGCCTTCACAGGTCCGTCTCCAGTGGCTCCGACAGTATAACAGGGCCTAGTAGAGCATCCTAGTTTCGTGACCCGTCATGCCTAGCAGTGCCGAGCATACTATGATACTGTAGTCAGGGGTCCTGGCTGTCGAAGACTTCTATAAATGTCATGTGGAGCGGAATCACGCGGGCTTGAACCGTTTGGGATTTTTACTCTTACGCACGGACAATGCCAAGCACGGTCTGCAGACAAGGCGGTTGAAAGATTGGACTGCAAGGAAAGTCTGAGGCTTCGGAGTTGAGGTTTACGGTTTATCGGTCCGAAAACACCTTTCGTGGACCACTTCAGGACCAAAGGACTCTTGAAAGTGGGGGCCCCGTAGCCTTATACCACGCATCCCTAACTTGGAATCGAACCTTAAGCCCGACGAGGGACAGGAGGAGGACGGGTCAAGGTCATGGTTCGGCTAAGGCTTAGGGGAAAACCACCCATAAACCAACACCCCAAACCCCCAAACCCTAAGGTTCAAACCCAAAACCAACCGGTTCATCTTCCAACGGGCAGTGCATGAAGCAAGGAGCTGCCCATTCTGCTCAAAAACCCAGCGACCGTCTTGGTGCCTGCATGCTTTGCTGGTGGTGTCGGGGTGAGGCCCTGACTAACAGGACGGAGGTGTGTAGAGGTTCCGTCCTACAAACTTGTAGGGAAGCCCTGGAAATATAATTGCCATTTTTGCAGGCTTCCACGCTACGCTACAGGGAAGTGTTCATCCCCTTACAAGTGTTCCTATCGTTATGCCCAAAATCCGAAACCCCGAACCCTAATATCCTAACAACTCCGAAACCCTAAGCCCCCAAATGTCCTGCACCCGAAACCCTCAATGTCCCAAACCCGAAACTGGTACCTATCCATATGATTTAGTTACGTCGCATCAGCCCGAGCTCACTTCTCAAGCCCGAAACCCCCCCTAAACCCTAAACCCCGAAAGCTAAACCATACCCATAGGCTCCATAGTAGTTCCTTTTTGGGATTAACTACCTTATAGAATTCTGAAGATAAACCCCCCAAAAGGAACTACTATGGAGCCTATGGGCAAAGACTCTAAACCCTAGACCCTAAAGACTCTAAACCCCTTTCAGGCCTTAGGCCCCCCCAAAGCCCCCAAAACCCTAAATTCCTTACAATGCCTCAAGGTGAAGTCTCCGAAGTTGCCGAAGGTCAGAGACGATCCGTCCTCGGTGCTATTTTATCTCTCCAGAAGAAATGAGCACATATAGATAAATACGTATATAAGAAAGTTGAGTGAACAATCAAATAAATAAACAAACAAGCATATATATATATATGTACATACATACATACATACATACATACATACATACCTACATGCTGCAGCGCTGCCAGGCCCCCCCCTTCCCCCCCAACCCATGGTATCCCCCTCCCCCTGTGGTTCCCTGTGGTGTGGGTTCTCCCCCGTCCCCCCTCGAAGGTGGTGATGACGATCCCCGTCCGCACTTTCCTAGCGCACCCAGCCGCGAACCGAAACCGTAAATCCTTAACACCTGGAATGCCCACTGTTAAGGGCTCAGTTTACCCAGAAACCCTAAATCCTTAACACCTGGAAGGCCCACTACACCCTAATCACATCTCCAGGACGGAGAAAGCGAAAGGGATGGAATCCTGGAAGGCTGGTCGTAGAGATTTCCCAAGGAATGGAATCTAACATCACCCCAACGACCCTTCGACATTGCTTGTCTGCGGTCTTGGCCTTGAGGTGGGCAACTCCAACAAGGGGGCTGCAAAGTTTTGGGTCTTCACTGATATCACCCTTTTTGCTGACAAAAGACCCCTAAAACAGTTCGAGGCCCGAAGCGATATGTGGGAAGCGGCCACGGGTATTGCCTTGTTCATTGAATGAAGGTCTAAACACTACCTGCAGTCTCCATTGTAGTTCCTTTTTGGGGTTACCTTTTAGGATCCTTAATATAGAATTGGTTAAACCAAAAAAAAGGAACTACAATGGAGACTAGAGGTAAACCCACTGAAGGTCTGAAGCCGCAAAGCCTTCGAGCAAGTCTTCGGTGGTGGCCCTTAAGCAAGAGTCAGAGTTGTAGATTTGTACTCTTAGTGTACATGGTGTTGTTCTCTTTTATGTGGAGAAGGCGGAGTTATCATATAGTCTAGTCATAGAAGGACCTTAAGGGGATAATACTATAACGTCTCTTTGCAGCCCCTATAGCCGCCCATAGCATATAAGCTGTGGGGGGGGGGGGTCGACGGCATTTTGGGGCTTAGGACTTAGGACTTATTTCAGACTAGTTGCTTGGAACTTGTTCACGAGCTGGTAGGTCATGATTGCGTTCTGGTTCGCCGACGGATTCCTCGCTAGCTAGGATTTCCGGGCTTTCAGGATGACTTGGAGGTCTTGAGCCTGGAGAGACTCACGGTCCGCATCGGATTCCTTAAGGGTCCTTTACGCCCGATACCACAAAGCCGAAACCCTAGCTAACCTGAAACCTTTTGGATTGCCTCTCTTGCTGCATAAGGCCTTGGGTCTCGAAAAAAGGTTTGGATGATTGCACATGTCAGTTTCCCAAGCAGGGCCCGCAGCCAAAGCTTAACGCAATACGGTTTAGGATCTGGGGCCTATCTTCAACCTCGCCGGAAACCCATATCTTCTTTTAGGGTCCCTAAAAATTCTGCACTAGGGTTCCTCATAACCCTAAACCCTAAACCGCGGCTCTGCAAGAACAACCCTAAACCCTAACCTACACCAAAACAGTGGGCGATGGGTAGCTCCTGGAGTTTAGGACTTGGGACCCGGAGGTCGAGGTTTCAGGGCCAGAGGCCGGAAACCTTTTCAAAAAATTGGGTCTAAAACTTTAAGTTTGACTTAGAGGTTGAGGATTAGGGTTTCAGGTCTAGGGTTTGAAGTCTAGGGTTTGAGGTTTAGGGTTTATAAGGCTTCGGGATTAGGATAATGAGCCCGTCAAATCTCCCCAACTGAAGGGCTAGGGTCCAAGGAGTAGGGTTTATGTCGAAAGCGACTTGGGTCCGACCACACTTCCGTGAATGATTTTAGGAACGCACATGTCAATGTGTTGTCTACATGTGCCATTACAACTACGTACCTCAACCCGAAACACGTAGTCAGAGTCTCATCAGGTACAGACGGCACTCAGCCTATGCGATCTCCAAATGCGGCTCTTCTCAGTTCAGATGTTGATACGAATTTCTCCTTTCATCAGCATCGCAGAACAACGCCGGTGCCAGAAACGTGTTAGCTACCGGCTGTCGAAAGGAATTGTCCACTGGATTGCACCCTCACTTGGAGTCCCATGCCCCGAACACCTCCCCAAAACTGAAGTCTCAACCCCGTAACGGTAAGACAAGAGGCAGTTTCTTGTTCAGGACGCTGTGAGGTTCGTTGCCCTTGTTTTTGTTGCAGCAAGACGTGCACATCCCCGGACAATGGCTTTTGGAGTACCAGAACCTCGATGATGGCCAAGTTTCATGCTTCAGGGCTTCCTTTTGGGCTTGCGGGGTCGGTAGGTTTAGTGTTTGGGGCTTAGGGCTCGGGTTCATTGTCTGTCCATCAGACCAGAATCCATTCCTCAAGTTCCGAGTGAATGGGATAGAACCGGGCAACTGCATCCTGATAGGTCCCACTACCTAAGTAAAACTGTTTAGGGTTTAGGGTTGAGGGTTTAGGGTTTCCACTACCTAAGTAAAACTGTACGATAATTATCATACACGATTGTTGAATCTTTTGGACGTTAGGGGATGCTTCTTATTCTCGTCGTCGGCCGCAGCGATCAAAATGCTATGTGTATATACACACATACACACATACCTATATATACACACACATATATATATAGGTATGTGTGTATGTGTGTATATATATACATATCATATATATATATATATACATAGAGAAAATAGCAGAGAAGTCGCCCAAAACTCGAATATAGGGTCGTCATAGGTGAAAGTCGGTTTTGGGCTTTGGGGCATATTGTTGTGCAACTACAAAAGAATAAGTACAAAAATAAATGTAAAGGTAGGGGTGTGTATACATCTAGAATCTAGAGGATACAGTACTGTGGATGTTATGACTTATATTGTTCAGACACTGCATCCGCTGCAGGCGCCAAGTGTACAGGCACGTTGCTCGATCATCGACGTCTCCTCATTGTACTTCCAGGCCCCAACTTGCCCTTTTTCATATTTCGCGAACCTTAGTTGGGTTTGGGGTTTGCTGTGACAGGAATCGTGCATTGCCTGAACATGTTGTCATTGTGCATATATAGTAACCCCACCCATGTAAATGTAGCAAGCTGTCGAATGACATCGCAAAGGTGTGCATCAAGACTGTGCAGCTCGAGATCTAGCATCAATTTGCTCCAAAACTATTTTAAGGAGCCGACCAGTCTCGGAGAGAGAGCTTTTGCTTGGGAGTTCGAGACGTTAGCAAATATGCAAAAGAAAACCTATGCACGGCACTTTGGGGAAGCACAGTGTCGAAGTCTGCTGTGTCCCAAACCTCTAAGAGCGGCGGGATTTGGAGACCACACCCAGGAGCCATGAGGAGCCGAAATAGCGCGGCCCTGCTCTTTAACCCTAGGCTCAAAATAGCCTAAAGACCTTATATAGTATGGCATTTGGACCCAAAAGCCTTAAAATATGAGTCCTTAGAGCACTAGGGTAAGGGTAAGTTAAGACTGCAACTTCAAGTCTAGGGGTACTTCTCGGCTCAGGCGCGCTGCAGCCTAGTATAGGAACCTGATTAAGAAGCCTTGGGCCGTTCTTAGGGTTTTTATGCGTGGGTCCTACTATCCCTAAGGCTCCATGTGCCCATGTAGTATATACTTAGGCCTTAAAGGGGTTCCTATATAGGTACTTTAGGGTCTAAGTATATACTAGATGGGTACATGGAGCCTTTGGGTATGTTGGGGAGTAGGACCAGGGTTCCCGAATCAGGTTCCTACGTTACGATTATATCGACCCCGTATCTCCCATAGCCTAGGGCCTTGAATTGGAGCTTAGAATGGTAAGGCATGATATGCCCTGCGAAGCCAACAAATGAGAAATCTATCTATCTATCCATCTATCTCTCTATCTATCTATGAGTATATGAATAAGAGAGAGAGAGATGTACACATACACATGGGTTTATTATGGATATACAATCAATGATACACACACACACAAGACAAGAAGGGACAAGAGAAGGCAAGGCAAGACAAGACAAGACAGAACAATTTTAGACAACTCAAGGCATCGAAAGAAAGTTCAATAACATGCAGTACAATACATTGCCACACCATGCCATAGTATACCGGACCCTACCCTAATTACCATACCAGACCATGCCGTACCCTACCATACCAGACCATGCCACACCATGCCACAGCATACCACACCATACCACGCCATAGCACACCATACCATAACATACCATGCCATACCGCACAATTCCATCGCATGCAATACCATACAATATAATTAAATGTACAATTACACATACAATACCATACAATATAATCAAACGTACAATTACAGTTACGATTACATTACAATACGATACGAGACACTACGATACAATATGCAGCATAAATTATAAGACACACACACGCACACACAAACACAAAACACAAAACACGGACAGACACACACACACACACATGCGCGTGCAGACACATGCGGACAGGCCCGTGAAGCGCAAAATCTGTCGAGACACGCTGGCCCGTAGGCATAGCAAAGAACATGCTTTCCATCAGCATCTCCAGACTCTGCAGTCCAGCTTTCGTCGGTCAGCTTTTCCATTCCTGGGTAACCTGTTTTAGGGTTTAGGGTGTCTTTGGAAATCCCCGATAGGCTGAGAGGACTCGTCAACGGCAACTAGACGGAAAGTCCTGTAGTAATCTTGAGAGTACAAGACCCAGGACGATACACTCATAATATGGGAGATTTACAGTACAGCGAAAGCCAATATAATGTTTTCGAATCGGATATTGTTGCGAATGGCTCCAACCTCTATACGAGAGGAAAGAACCTCCAGAACTATCAGAACCTTGTCGACAGCACCGAACAGTCAGCGTTTCAGGCCGTTTGGGGCCATGTCGCGTTCTCTAGGCAGCGACCGCTGAGAACTCGACAATTTAGGGCTTGGAGTTTAAAAGTTTAGCACAGAAGCTTCGTTTTATTGAGAGATCTACGACAAGAGCGGCCCCGTTTCTACTGAGCACGCTCCAACAATCAGAACAACCTTTACCACGGGGGAGAAGCAGACACCAGCACCTGAAGACATGCTGATTTGGATAAATTTAGAGTCCCCGCGACCGCAGCCGGAAAATGTCTAAGTAAACCAGCCCTCTACAAGAACAGCAACAAGAACAAGTCCTGTCCAAAGCCATACCAACACCGCAGCAACTCCGAAATCTAAACCAGGTTCTGCTCCAGGAAGCCCATCCTAAACCCTAAACCCTAAAAACCAGGTGCTGCTCCAGGGAGCCCATACCCTAAACCCTAAACCCTAAAACATAAATGGCTCTGCTCCAGGGAGCCCATGTCACCGGCTTCTTGCGGAGTCACGTAGTTGCACTCTTTCGGCCCCCCCCAGTCTTCCGAAAGGTTCGCTTCCGAGTCCTGCAGTGCTTGTTGCAGATTCAACATAGCCCCAAAGACCTGATTATAGTATGGTCTTTGGGCCCAAAAGCCTTAAACTATGAATCCTTAGAGCCTTAGGGCCCTAAACCCAAAACCCTAAAGCCTTAAAATATGAGTCCTTAGAGCCTTAGGGTTTAGGGTTTGGGGTTTAAGTCTGGCTTCGGTGTTGAGGTTTAGGGCTTTAGGGCTTTAGGGGTTTTGGGATTTAGGGTTTAGGGTTTTGGGGTTTTGGGCTGTTTGTTGCCTCCCAAGGAATGGAAGCACATACAGCGATGTCACTGGAAAAGTGCATAGCCACCACCACAAGTGTCTTGACAGAGTACTGCGTAGCATATCACAGGGGTATTACAGTATGATCACGAGAGCTCTCACACTACGAAGCCGATCGAGAACTCCGAGGCACCACACTCCAGCCGCAAGCTTCCCTAAAATCAAGATGGCTTTCATGCATCGACAGCACCGTTTTCAGCGCCAGCAGAGACTGAGAGGTGCCAGTCTCTACACTAAACCCTGAACCCTAAACCCTCCCTGCACCCTGAAACTCCAATACCTTGCCTTAGTACTTGGCGCCCGGGAAAGCTTGCACATGAAAGGCCCGAAGACGCATCAAATCCAGGATTCAGGCTGTGTGTTTGTCATTCGGGTTGAAGGTTGTAGACGACCTGCGACAAAAACCTCATGACCTCTTCGATCCTGAACCCACACTGCTCCAAACCCTCAATACTTGGTCCTTGGGGTTTAGGGTTTAGGGTGTACTTCGTGAGTGCAAGCGTTGTCCTGCTGCAGACGATGGCCCATGGCTGAGAGAGCGAGAGCGGCACAGAGAGTTTGCGCCAGCATGATGTGAGATTTCAGACACCACGACGCAAGGCGTGCAAAGCCGACAAAGAAGATCGCTTGAACCCAGCAGGCAGGCAGGGCCATTGGTTAGGGTTTCAGGGGTTACGAGTTTTGAGAATTAGGATTCGCGGAACGGGGGTCGCTTGTGCTTGTGACTAGCTTGATGACTTCCCTTCGACACCGAAACTCCAAACTCCAAATTCTGAAAACGCTAAACCGTAGCTGTCGTAGCAGTCTCCGGCAAGGACAACCGGGCAGTGTTGTAGTAGTAGTAGTAGTAGTAGCAGCAGTAGTAGTAGTAGTAGTAGTCGTAGTAGTAGTAGTAGTAGTAGCAGGAGTAGTAGTAGTAGCAGCAGCAGCAGCAGGAGTAGTAGCAGTAGCAGTAGCAGTAGCAGTAGCAGCAGCAGCAGCAGCAGCAGCAGCAGCAGTAGCAGTAGCAGTAGCAGTAGCAGTAGCAGT